CCTCTGAGTGACAGTCAGGTCATTTCCCTGATATTGGGGTTCAGTCCCTTTAGTATGAGTCTCAGTTTTGATGACAGACAACACTTCATTGCAGAACATATACAACTTCCAGGAATTTCACATAATTTTTGGAACACTTATAATTCATATCTATATGGACAAAATATAAAGAAGGCTTAATGTTGCTTTTTATTTGACAACCCTTCCCATGTAATTTAACATACCAAATATACCTAATTAGCTTAATTTCTCTTTTTATAAGGAGAGAGAACACATTTTCCAGATATATCATGGGCCTTTAAATATTTCATATTCCAAAGTCAAAAAGACTTCATTTGGAATTTGATTTTTGGGAAAGTGAAAAAATGAAAGTGAAACTCACTCGGTTGTATCTGACTCTTTGCAACTGCATGGACTGTAGCCCACCAAGTTCCTCTGTCCATGGGATTCTTCATGCAAGAATATTGGACTGGGTCACCATTCGTTTCTCCAGGGGATCTTCCTAACCCAGGGATTGCACCTGTGTTTTCTGCATTGTAGGCAGATTCTTTACCATCTGAGTCACCAGGGAAGTTTGTCAAAATACCAAAAATGTCTTAAACTGCTTCTGCAAACAGGTCTCCATGAAACAACGCTCAGTTATCCATTTAAACAAAATAAGAATTAAAGATTTCATTGGCAAATTTAGATTTATTATTAAAATTTTAAAAAATAGTTTCTAAGGCAGAGTCCATTTCCTTGCTTACCATTCAGGTTGGCAAAGGAATTTCTTTTTAGGGTGACTACCAGCTTTTGGGGAGGGGGAATTTCCTCCTCTACTCCTCTGGAGTTCTTGTGGCTGGGCTAGTGATAAATTTGACACAGAATGATTAACAGGAGAAAAAGGAACAAACTTTAATTCATTTGCATGGAGGTTCCACAGAAATGGACCTTAAAAAGTGGCCAAAGCAGGCAGTTTAAAAAACATTTTTTTTTTTTTTTTTTTGACAAAGAAACAGTATATCTGTGAGGAATTGACTGGAGAAAGAAAACTTAGATTTTAGGTGCCCAATTAGTAAGGAATCTAAACAGAATTTGGGCTTGGGGTATTATATTAAGGAAGTAACAAGGTTTGTTTACATCGAGTTCTAGGCCTGAATTCTCAATCTTTGGTGAGAAGTATGTTCTTTTACCTTTGGATGTGGGGAGTATACCTTTCACATGAGAGGTACATAATCTGCTTTCAGGGGAACAGAAGGAAGGGTGAGGGTATCCCTCTTGCACTGGCTATGCCTTAAGTAACTGAAGTTCACTTCAAAATAATCAATATGCCATTGAGGCACACTTTCGGGTGGTCTGCTGTGGGCCCCCACAAACCTTAAAAAGTTTAGTAAATTTAACAGTTTGTTTCCCCTACAAGTCAACATGGGTGACCTCAAGAAGCTGGGAACAGCCCTCAGCTGATATTCAGCCAGAGAATGATAACCACTAAGAACTGAATTTTGCCAATAAGCCGTAATGATAAGCAAGGTAACAGATTCTGACTCAAAGCCTCCAAAGGAATGCTGCCTGCCACTACCGAGATTTTCCCCGTGAGATTGTGTCAGATTTCTGACATACAAAACTACAAGTTAATAAATACGTATTGAGCCACTAAGCCGGCTTCCCTCATAGCTGTTGGTAAAGAATCTGCCTGCAATTAAAGAGACCCCGGTTCTATTCTTGGATCAGGAAGATCCGCGGGAGACAGGATAGGCTACCCACTCCAGTATTCTTGGGCTCCCTTTGTGGCTCAGCTGGTAAAGAATCTGTCTGAAATGTGGGAGATCTGGGTTCCCTAAGTTGGGAGATCCCCTGGAGAAGGGAAAGGCTACACACTCCAGTATTCTGGCCTGGAGAATTCCATGGATTATACAGTTCATGGGGGTCACAAAGAGTTGGACATGACTGAGCAACTTTGGTAATTTGTTACAGCAGCAATAGAAAATGAATACAGTAAGGAATATTTTATTTTTACTTCATTTAAAAAATATATTTTTATTTATTTGGCTGTCCCAAGTCTTAGTTGGGGCACATGAGATCTTCTATCTTATGTCTTGGTTTGTAGGAGCTTTTAGCTGTGGCCTATGAACTCTTAGCTGTGGCCTGTGAGGTCTACTTCCCTGACCAAAGATCGAACCTAGGGTGTCTGCACTGGGAGCGCAGTCTTAGCCACTGTACCTCCAGGGAAATTCCATTGTCTTTACTTCATTTAAATAAAAGTTAACCCAATTGTTGCTACTGTTGTGTAGTTGCTAAGGTGTATCCAACTCTTTTCGACCCAAAGGACTGTAGCCAGCCAGGCTACTCTTTTCAGGGGATTTTCCAGGCAAGAATACTGGAGTGGGTTGCCATTTCTTTCTCCAGTGGCTCCTCCCGACCCAAGGATCAAACCCATGTCTCCTATATTAGCAGGTGGATTCTTTACTGCTGAGCCACCAGGGAAGCCCTGTTTATCCAATACTCAATCCTTATTCTTCTGGGCTTCCAGGATGTTTACTGCGAGACATTACTGAGGCCCTTTCTCATACCAGTGACACTCAAGGTCCCAAGGGTGTCAAGAATCTTACTATGAGCTAAAATACCAAGGAGGCCCCCTTGGACCTTCTGTAATCATTTGCTATCAATGAAACACCGTGGTCCCTGGTTCTTGGTCACATGTAACCTGGTGGCAGCAGCAGAATCTTCACAAGGCTGGAAAACTTGGAATCTAGGGATCATCTCCTCTAGGCATCCAGGAAGTCATCCCCTCATTCCTTCCATCCTAGTGTGGTATCATTACCTGGGAGCACTAGGGGTTAGGAATGGGGTTCTGGTAACCCTTTGTCCCCTTCTCAGGGAAATCTTCCCTCTAACAGTCTAACAATCTCTCCCAAGGACACATATATCTCATCCCTTGCACACATGTGCACACACATCAGGCCTGATATTGAGGTCGTCTCTAATCTGTTTTAACCTCTCAGACTCCCTTGAAACAAAGAGCATAATGATCTGGTTACTAGGAGTTGGGAGACAAATAAAATATAAATTAAAATAAAATATAAATTAACATCTTAGATTATTTTGTTAACACTGACGCACTGTTAAGTTGGTTTTATCTCTTAAAGGAACTTTCGCTTACCTTCCCAGTGCCTTGGTATCTCTCAGAGGTTTGGTGACTGATGGTTTTTATTTTGGTATTGAATTCTGTCCCAGGCTGGTAAACTCACATAAAATAGCAGCTGGCTGGGTGTGTGATACATTTTTTTCAGGCTTCTTAAGGTCAGGATTCATAAATTGGACATTGGGCAAATTTCTTCCTTTTCAGAAGGAAAAATGACTCTTTTCACTCAACTCTGGCTCTATCCCACCTGCATGGGAGTTTTTTCTGATTCTGGTCAACCAGTGGGAAAATGAACTGTAGAGAAACAGGGATGGAGCAGGGGCCCACTTAAATGAGTTTATGGTAATATTCTAGGCAAGAGATGACACAGGCTTGAATCAGGGCAGAAGTAGTAGAAATAAATGGTTGGATTTTTAATTCTTTGATGGGTACAACCAATGATCTCATATTGGGTGTTAAAAGAGAAAACCAAATATAAATAGGCTGTTAGAGCTTAACTTCCTTCGCATAATTCATAGTTGGGAGTCTGGAGGGACCTTAAATGACTTCCCAGAACATTTCACATCTTGAGATTGGAGATCAGAGTTTAAGGGTTGTCACAGGAGACTTAGAAGTTAAAGAGTTCATTCTCTAATGTAAATTGCATCCATATTTCTTTGTTTTCAGATTCACCTCCTTTTCTGCAGTCTCTAGGATTTCATTATCTCCCAACTCCAACTGGCATTAAGTTCCAGTTTTTCCTCCCATCCCACATTCATCACCAGGCAGGTTTTTCAGCTTTTTTCTATCCTCCCTTCGAGTACTCCAAAATAAATGACAGGTACCATTTTCAGGGGAAAAGAATGCAGGAAAGTTGAAAACAATAGCCCTGTATACTATATACAAGCTTGGAAGATGACTAAAAATGTCATAGTGAGATCGACATTTTAAGAAATGCGGTACTGTTCTATTACTATCAGTGATAAATCTATTTTATATTTACTCTTTTGTAGCTCAAGAATCAAGATAATTGTCATTGCAAAACTTAATTCATATGACTGATGAAAACTTTTTTTGTTTAAAACGTTGAATGCTGGAAGAAGTAACAAAGTATTAATAAGTGAGAACAAATAGCACCCATATAAGGCAAGAAGTAGTCTCTTTCTAAAGTGAAGTTAATGTTAGTTTTTAAAAAACTGTGGGCTATATTGCTGTTTTTCAGAGTTGTAAAACCTTAGGCAAAGTAGTTATCTTTCTGTGGCTTTTCTTTCCTCTCCATGAAATCTCAGCTTAGGGTCCTCAATCACACACACACACACACATACACACACCCTTAGTTAAAGAACTATTTAGTGTTTAGCGTAAAATGCATGTTTGCTATGGGAAATACCAAGTACAAGTCACAGGGCACAGGTTCCTGACCTTCCAGAGTAGGAAATCCGCGGAAGCAGACCAGCAGTGAATCCAATTTACAGTCGGTGCAAACTTCCCCATGCTGGCCTGAAACTGTCAAGTACGTAAGCGGCTGCGACTGTGCGCACTCACCCAGCTGTTAATTCTTAAACTGCCATCCTAAGCCGGAATAGGCAGACTTCCACTTTACTTTCACTTTTGAAGGGGATAAAAATAAAGTACGTACAACTTTGCCACCTGAGATGTTTTCAGAAGAGATTCCTTTACTTGCCCCAGAGACACTTCCCTAACCTCAGTAGCTCCCAAGGACAACCCACTCTCTCCTTCCGGGTTCTAGGTGAACTGTTTCACGGGCACAAACCAATGGGCTCATTCCTTCCCCGCAACGGGGCGGGGTCTCCCGCCGGGGCTTCGGAGACCCGCCCTCCGTACGTGGCGTGCGTGCGTGGCGACGTGGGGCGCGGGACGGTTTCTTCAGCTTGTGGCGCCCCCCGGCGGCAGCAGTGAAGAGATGTGAGGGCCGGCCCTGAGCGCCTGCCATGGAGCCGCACAAAGAGGCGCGAACACCCGGGGACCCCGTCGCGTGGCTGCCTGGGACCTTGAGGACTCAGACGCCCCAGGAGGAGGAGCCGCGGGTGGGCGGGTCAGCGCCAGCGGCGTCCGTTNTGGACTGCAGCCTACCAGGCTCCTCCTTCCATGGGATTTTCCAGGCGAGAGTCCTGGAGTGGGGTGCCATTGCCTTCTCCGTTTGTTAAACTAATAACCAGCAATTAGCATTGTCTGCCTGATTGAGTTATGCTTAATGTACTTTCACGATTGTGAGGACTGTTCTCCCTGCTTGTTAGAATGTCATGTTATACAGATGTACTATTTTTAAAAATAACTTTCTTTTCTGGTGTAATATTAATATAGGCTTTAAAAAGTATGTATTTTATTATATTTGGCTCTTCGGGGTCTTAGTTGCAGCACGAGGAATCTTTGATCTTTGTTGTGGCATATGGGATCCTTAGTTGCGGCATGCAAGCTCCTAGTTGTGACATGTGGAATCTAGTTCCCTGACCAGGGATCAACCTGGGCTCCCTGCATTGTGAGCATGTAATCCTCACCACTGGACCACCAGGGAAATTCCACCATTAACCTTAATGGAATGAAAGCTAATGGAGCCTTTCAATTTTTACTGGACCTCTTGGGAGAATTCTGCAATTGAAATATTCCTTGAAACATTCTTTCTTTGGTTTCTCTGTGATTTATCTGACTTTTCTGTCCTAGTCTTCTTTGCCTGTTCCATTCAAACTGTCAGTGTTGGGCCACCTCAAGGTCTTTGTTCTAGATTCTCTTGTTCTAATCCCATACACTTCCCACAGATGATCTTACCAGTTTTCATGGTTAAGTTATCACCTCTACATTGGTCTCTCTACATCAGACTCTCCTCTAGAGCAAGAGATTTATGTCTTCATTTAATTATTGTGTTTGGAGTACTTTGCTAATTATTGTTAATACGGTTGGAGGCTTTGTCCACATAGACTGTTTAGTTTGTTGTTGGTTACAGATGATAAGACAGTAAAAAAGCAACCAAGTATGTGATTACAGATTGAAAAAACCCCAAAAGAACAGCAATGAAGGAGAGAAGTGGGATGCTGTAATAGAAAATAGCAGGATGGTGTCAGGAAAGATTTCTGAAGAGATAGAACTTATTTTGAGACTTAAACGATAAAAATGATCCAAACCAAGAGAAAAGCATTTCGAGAAGGGGAGCAGAAGGACAGACTGGTTGCTATTCTTTACCATTTGACCTTTTCCCAGAGCTGAATCAAAAGACCTCAGAGTCAGAATCTTTGAGTGTAAGGATCTTTTTATATTTTCTGACTGTACTATGTCTAGTAGATATTCAGTAGATCTTTGACAAAGGTGAGTAGTTTGTGTCTAGAAGAGACTGTGTTTTAGAAGAGAGGGATATGTGAATACAATTTATTTAAATAAGTTGTCTAAAGTTGTTAGATGATAACACCTAAAAATGCGGCAAAGAGGTCTACTATAATGCTGAAAGAAAAATGTTTCAAATATAAATCCAGAGATAAATTATGCTAGTTTTATCATATAGCTTTTAGTCTACTCAGAACTGCTAGTTGAAATAGTTTAAAAATTAGTCTTCTGTAGTTAGCAAAAATTTATAATGTTTCTGATCTGTTTCTCCTTGCCCCATTATAGACTTTGTGTTTTAGAGCACTTTTAGATTGATACCAAAATTGAGAGGAAGGTACAAAGATTTCCCATGTGGCCTCTGCCCCCTCCATCCCCCCACCACATGCATAGCTTCTCAGTTATCAACATCCCCTACCAGAATGGTACATTTGTTACAATTGATGAAATCGAGTGACACATCATCACCACTTAAAAGTCCGTAGTTTACATTAGGGTTCACTCTTGGTGTTATGCGTATTTTAAGTTTGGACAAATTTGCAATAACATTTATCTGCTATTATAGTTTCATGCAGAATGTTTTAACTGCCGTAAAAATCCTCTTGGCTCTGCCTTTTCATTCCTCTCTACCCTCTAACCTGATCTACTGTTACTGGATTTCAGCTTGTTTTCAGTTTTATTTAGTTAATACTTTAGAATTATAATCCACTCTGACACTTCTATGTTTTGCATTTTATGGTGAAATTTTCTACCTTTTAAAGACTCTTCTTTCCCTTGGCACATTATGCGTTTTAATTGGTTAGGATACAGTTCTAGAAATTTTAGGTGTTACCTATAAAATATAAACTAATTTATGTCTTTATATTTTATTTCATTAGGCTGTTAGGGTCTCAGCTAGTTGCCTGAGTGAACTTCTTTACTGTTACACTTATAATAGTTTTTAAAATTGAAATGCATTTTTAGTTTTGAGTGATCAGTACATCACAATTATTTGGCCCTTTTTTGATACTTAAAACACTATTCATTTATCTAAATACACTATTATAATTGTCACTGCCTAAAGAGTTCTAGAGATTGGTTTTGTTCAGGAAGTGTAAACTCAATTTAAATTCTCAGCAGAATCTTGCTCGTTAGAAATACAGCATATCTTAAATGTTGGGGCCGGTGTGAGGAAAGTAGGAGAGACTCCCTCTTGAGGCCTGTCACCCATCTTGAAGATAGGATGTAAACTGGGCCTGAACCCTGCCCAAGAGTGAGGAAACTGTTGCTAATGGTAACCAGGTCTCCTGGAGAATTCCCTCCCTACAGATGGCAAATGGAGATTGTAGCTGAGGTCAGGCTGCCGCTGTTAGATTAACCGTGGAGACATCCCCCCTTGATATATAACCATTGTCCCCCTCTCCCCCTTAACTTTAATTGTTTGTTCTTCTAGCACCTACTTACTGTAAAACTCAGTCATGAACAACAAAGAGGTTGCTACCATGTAACCAGTCACGTGGGAGTGGGATATAAAGCTGGGCCTCTCAGAAACATCAGGGTCCTTGTTGGGAACTGATTCCTCTTGGACCCGCTGGCGTAATAAGCTGTACTCCACTGTCTTGAATGTCTTCTGAGGTGTGTTTTGCGACTCTGTATTCCACAACAAAATATGAATGAAATATCCCTTAAAAGATCCATACTAGTTTGGTATTGCAGGTTACAGATTTTATAAAAAGTATGTCCCTGTTAAAAGGAGCAGCATGTATAGGAGTATACTGTGTCAACACAGTGTATTTGGAGAGCTTGGCAGAAAGGAAGGAGAAGTGAGGCTGCAGAGGTTGATGGTGGTTCTCTTGGGAAGGGCCAGATAAGCTGTTAGAAGTTAGAATTCCATGCACAGTGGAGCCTGGCGGACTGCAGTCCATGGGGTTGCAGAGAGTTGGACATGATTGAGTGACTAACCACTTTCACTTTTCTAATCTTCCTCTTTGGCTTAGCGGGTAAAGAATCTGCCTGCAATGCAGGAGATATGAGTTGGATCCCTGGGTCGGGAAGATCTGCTGGAGAAGGAAATGGCAGCCCATTTCAGTATTCTTGCCTAAAAAATCGCATGGACAGAGAAACCTGGTGGACTATGGTCTATGGGGTTGAAAAGAGTTAGACATGACCGAGGGACTAGCAACACCAGGAAATTTGAGCCTAAAGCACTAGAGCCCGACAAAGTAGCCACTGAAGTTTTTTTTTTTTTTTGAATGGAGGTGTCAATTTGACTTCTGTGGGTGGCTTTTAGCTATCATAATTTACACTCTGTTTTATTAAGAAAAATGCAAACTGAATAGTGATACAGTGGTAAAGGCTTGACTGGGAAGAGTTAGAGCCTCATTATAGTAAAGATGCCAAACATCTTAATTATATTTTTATGTCTTCTGTGGATATTCCTGCCTGAGGACAAGAGTTGGAAACCACTTGCAAATCATTGGTTATAAAAATAAGTACAGAGAATTTTTTTAACGTGTCTGAGGGAGGAAGACAGCAGGGACAACATATATATAAACTGACACAGACAGGCCCTGAGACATAATTTTTCTATCTCCAGTGCTTTCTTCTTTCAGAAGTACAAAGTTGTAAGGATTATGTGAAACCACATCAATATAAATAGCACCCATTTATTAGACACTGGTCATCAGGTTATCCACCNGGCCCTGAGACATAATTTTTCTATCTCCAGTGCTTTCTTCTTTCAGAAGTACAAAGTTGTAAGGATTATGTGAAACCACATCAATATAAATAGCACCCATTTATTAGACACTGGTCATCAGGTTATCCACCGAGATGAGGTGTTTTATATTTGTTATTTTATTTTTGTCCCATAACAGCCTTCTGGAGTTGATGGCATCATTAGCTTTTGAAGGATGAAAAGGTGGAGGTAACAATCAGGTAGCAGAGCTGGGTCTCTGGCTCCAGTCCTCGTGGCTCCCAAGCTCCTGCAAGGGCTTGACTCCTTGCTCTACACTCCACGCTTGCTGAAGAAGCCTTATTTTGATTGCATAGTGGATGTAGTCACCAGTTGAAGCGGAACTATTAAAGCTGCAGGAGTAGCTCTGTTTTCATACTTTTTAAGCTGAAGTATGTTTCAGTTCAGTTCAGTCGCTTAGTCATGTCTGACCCTTTGTGACCCCACGGACTGCAGCACCCCAGACTTCCCTGTCCATCACCAATTCCTGAAGCTTGCTCAAACTCATGTCTATGGTGATGCCATCCAACCATCCCATTCTCTGTCATCCCCTTCTCTTCCTGCCTTCAATCTTTCCCAGCATCAGGGTCTTTTCCAGTGAGTCAGTTCTTTGCATCAGGTGGCCAAAGTATTAGAGTTGCAGCTTTAGCATCAGTCCTTCCAATGAATATTCAGGACTGATCTCCTTTAGGATTGACTGGCTTGATCTCCTTGCAGTCCAAGGGACTCTCAAGAGTCTTCTTCAACACCACAGTTCAAAAGCATCAATTCTTTGGTGCTCAGCTTTCCTTATGGTCCAACTCTCACAGAAAAGAAAATTAGATACCAAGTGAATTTGAGATACCAAGGGAACATTTCATGCAAAGATGGGCACAATAAAGGACAGAAATGGTATGGACCTAACAGAAGCAGAAGATATGAAGAGGTGGCAAGAATACACAGAAGAACTATACAAAANAAAGAGAAGAGGAACTTAAGAGCCACTTGATGAAAGTGAAAGAGGAGAGTGA